CCCCAAAACCCCAAAACCCCAAAACCCCAAAACCCCAAAGAGAAAGATTTGCATTAAATTTTTGAGAAGAATTATATGAAATTAAAACATGGATAACTTGAATAAAAAAAAGAGATCTATTTTTAGAATTAAAGTCATTTCACTCTTCCAAGATAGCATTGTTAGCTTTATGACTTTAGTATAACTGACTATTATCTAATATTGCTTTATTGCCACCTAGGATGTCTTCATATCTTTTCTGATGTCTCTTAAATCTATTAAAAGCAAGCATTGATAAAGTACAGCCTAGCACATAGAAGATAATGATGAATGCGCACCTTACTGTGATAATTTACTCAAACTTAGAAATCACCCTTGCTTCCTCAAAGTTCACATTCTCTTATTTCTCAAATTTCTCCTAAGCCTTATTGATTACATTAATGTAGACAGCTGCATATGCAACAGCGCTAGTCACTTGTATGAAGACTAGCAAGTTCATCATTTCACCAATCTTCTCAGTTTTCTTCTGTATCTACTCAAGACATCTTGGATTATTTCCGTTTTCCATTATTTTCTTGAGAGCAACGATGCTTTGAGCAGCTAAGATTAATCCAATAATTCCTTAAGCTAGGGTAATAAAACTGGTCAAAAGCGATACTCCTTGCAAAAAGATGAATGTTTTTAGATTAAACTAGAAGGTAAGTTATTAACTTTGCGGCTATTAATCTCCTTCATTAGCAAGTTATAACTATTAATCTCTTGAATTATCAAACTTAGCGATCTACACAAACTCATAGATAGTAGTGGAGATTCCATATCCTATCATAGTTAAACTTGATAAGAGCACTACGAAAGCATAGCGACGAGTCCAAATCTGAGTTTTATACAACTCTATTCCATCGAAATTCTAATTGTTGCATTCGAGATCAGATAGCTGCAATTCTTAACCCTTCTTAGTCAATTGGTTGCTATTGCCTGATGATAATTTTTTAGTTTTGCTTTTGAAGGAATCCAAATTGCTTGCTGGCTTGAACTCCGTATCGTTCTCGAAATCATTAACTGGAATTACATCTAGTTAGTCTTCTCTAGCTGAATCAATTGAGGTTTTTCTGTATTAGTTTACAAATGACATTAGTAACGTTTGCAGTACAATGAGTTTTTGCTTTTAAATAATCTAATTTTACTTTATTTATATTTTACTGCAAGTCTATTAATAGTTTTTCTAAACTATCTTCAGATTTACTTAAATTTTAGATTATGGGGTTTTGGGGTTTTGGGG